TTGCGTAACTTTGTAGTAAATTAGCACAATTCGATGTGTATACGATTGGTGATGGATATAGGATCATGTGGGGGTGGGGTAAGAAATATATAATGATGTAAATATACATAAGGGTTTCAAAATTTTCGCTTCGATTTCCAGCTTCGGATGCCGCCTGATGTTTGGTGAAATACAGTCGAATATAATCTCAAAATGGCGTTTAAATTAGCCTAAATTAAAAATAATCGTATATCTCTTAAAATTGCTTTTAGAATATTGATTAGTATATTTTTTGATTTCTAGGTAAATATGTAACCAAATTAAAACGTTCAAAACGTAAAAAAATGTGCATGGTTGAACATTGTCAGAAAGTAGATTCTTGAATAGGTTTTGCCAAAATGGGTTCAAAAATGTCAATAATTAATTAAAAAATACAGTAGCTTTATAATTACTTATAACTTACCGGATTTGATGAACGACATCTTTTATTGGAAAGATGAGTTTGATGAGCTTTCATCATCGCTACTGCCTGAAGCACCAACGTCAATAATGAATGGCTCGACTTGTTCCTCTAAAATATTGTCCAGTTCCCACATTCTCTTTTCAACTTTGTCTTTCACGTGCTTAATACAGTTTTCCCATTTTTGCGCTGTTATTAAATCTAGTGCTTCTTTGAAAAGTCCTTTGAGGTCACAAAATTTAAAAATTGTATTGTGCTTAGCTATATAATTTTTAACCTCTGCCCATATGAGCTCAATGGGATTGAGCTCGCAATGGTATGGAGGTAAACGGAGCACAGTTTTATTTTGACTTGCTGCCATTTCGTCAATGGCGTATTTTTTATATTCCGCCTTGTGATCCTTGACAATTCTTAATAATTGTACTTTCAGCATTGCTTCTTCAAAGTTGATATTTTTCGAGCGGAGCCAATTTTGAACATCAACTTTCCTTGAAGCCGTTGTTGGGACCTTCTACATTCTTCGAGAATGATAAGGCGCATTATCCAACACAATTACTGCGTTTTCCTCGGTAAAATTTTTGAAAACCACTGTTCAAACGATTCGCCATTCATTTCCTCGTGGTAATCACCAGTTTTCTTAGAGTCAAAGCACCACAGACCGTCAACAACAAATCCATCCTCACTGCCAATATGGCAGATAATGAGCCTTTTCCCTTTACCTGGGAATCGAAGTACTAACTGGTGTAGATTTATTTCAATAAGCAAACCTTTTTCAAATGTTTTCATCACATTCAGCGAAAAAACATTGAGACATGAGTATCAGATTGCTATAATTGGGATTATTTAGTCATATTGAAAGAAAGAATATTGAACGTCGTATGATTACTCAGCGCTTCACAATTTAATTTAAAGTTATAAACCTTTAAAAAATGAATGATCAGGAACCTGAAATACGCGCAAATATTAATATTAACAAATTATAACTTTATAAAGCTTAAAGTATGAATTAAAACTTAGTAACTTTTTTTAAGTTTATAATATTCGACATATTTTAAGATTATATTAAAAAATTATTGAAATATCGAAAACACATAAAAACATGGCTTAAAAAAGTTCTAACAAATGGTAATGACAATAAAACATCCACGTATTTTATCGAAAGTTATAAAAGTTTTGTTACTTGTAATATGTTTTATCTGCCCCCTGGAATTAATGTTTAGAACCTTGTTCCCAAGGTTTGAAAAACATCCGATTGTTGTCTATTACTCGTATTTACCTGCTGATTGTTTAATCCGGTGGACAGTCCATCTAGAAAGGCCCTCCTGGATGAAGTTACAGAATCATCAACCCATACTTTACTTGTAGTGTGTCCTGCGTTTACCCATGTTTCATCAAGGTAATAAATCTTCCTGTTTTGATTTCTATATTTCCCAATTTTTGTTAAATAATCCCTCCTCCATAGCACAATTTCTTCTCTATCCAGTAGTAAACTATTACGACCCCGTTTTTTCCATTTGAAATTTAAATGCTTCAGTAACGCATGGAAAGTTGATCGTTTGAAATTTGGCAACGTTGTATCTCCATTTACCTCCTGCAGTACTTTATCTATAGTAGGTATTTCATTCCTAAAGAATTCATGCACTTTCCTCCTAATCGCATGCTTATCAGCTTCATCCAATGATTTAACAATACTTTTGCGATGTTTACTGGTCATTGGCTCAGAAAAGGTGTGATTTTTTTTGTATTGTCTTAACACATTAAACACTGATGCGCGACACACCCCAACTTTGTGAGAAACCTTCACAACAATTTCTTTGATGGTTGATGCCTCGTTCTCATCGCGCTCGATCTTATATACGTATATATATTCAAAATGACCTCTTTCATTTCTGCACTCAGGTGCCTTTTTTTAGAGCGTTTCCTAGGTGGACTACAGGAGTTTACAACTTCATCGGCAGTATCTGTACTACTGGGCATTTTGCGCAAGCAGTTGATAACAATAACAATCAATAACAAGGTATAACAATAACAACGACAAACTCAACAACTTAATAAGATAACAAACGAAAACGTCCAAAGAAATATCAAATTGCAATGATGCACACGACATACGTAACACGTCTGAACCTGAATGTGACTCTGCCTTGATACGACTGCTCTGCCGCTCGGCATAGGCATTTAATTGCGAATTGACCAATGAGGGCTCCTGTTTTACGTCGAGACGGCGGCGTTAGCATGAAAATCACCCGAACCTTTTGTTTACATCCGTTCTATCTCTTATCTGAATATATGTTACTGTACAATACTTCCCCGCCTGTAGCCATGGGGAGTTAAATTTTTCTGGAAACATATCAAAAGGATAACATTTATGTCCGTATAAGTGATTTAACATCGCATAACTCCATTTTTAGTTCCTTTATCCCTTTGGAACGCGACTGACTTTGGACTGCCGGTTTACCTAGTTCCGTTAATGCCTTCATCGCTTCGAAGATTCGTTACATATCGTTACATCTTTTAGTCTAATCATATTAGACGAAATTACCACTGGTAGCGAAATGATTGTAAAGTCTAGTTTTATTACTGCAAATTGTTCAAGGGGGATTTCAAAACATGAACGCATAAAATGGGTACACCAATTTTTGTGGGATAGCCTTTTATCCAACAAGGATGAGAAAAAGCGTTTTCTGGGATTCAATCTAAAGTGTTGGCAGGAACAAAAACATTTTTCATATAACATTTTTAGGTATTTGTGAGACCTACGAAATGAGATCACACGTAAAAAGATCCGACTAATAGCCTAAAAGTTATAGCCGAAAACCGAGGCAAACTGCAGATTTTGACGCTTGTTGGTAATGCGAAGATGGTTTCTCGCAGATATTTGAAATTCTTCAAAATTCGTAGGATACGTACTTCTAAATAACCACAACAAAATTGTAGTTGATTGATCAAGTAGTTTTTGAGAATTTCTAATTGCTTGTCCCAAAACACCTGTTTTCCGGCCATCACTACTAGTTTATTGAGCGATATTCAGGGTTAGTTCAAATGACATTTTATAGCAAAATACACAAGCCGATATGAATCGCAAACCATTCTGGAATATAATTGTTATTTTTATGCAAAAAAGGATGGGTTGGGCTTTTTCTTCTAAAAAAATTCAAACATTTTATATTTGTGACTAATTCGAAACAAAATATGATAGATACATCCGATTTGTTTTAAAATGTGTCTAGTAATGCATGTTTTTTGAACATCGTAGCGCGTTTGTTCAATTACTCACCAGTACGAAATGTTTCAATTTGTTTATAAGAAAAACGTTACCTTTGTTTTTGCATAAAAATAACATCTTTCGGAATGATTTGTGATTCACATCGGAACGTAAGCACGTGTATTTTGCTATTAGATGCTCAATGAATGAACCCTGTATATTGCTCAATAAACTAGAAGTGATGGCCGGAAAACTTTGGGATAAGCAATTAGATATTCTCAAAAACTACTTCACCAATATAATCCAATTTTGTTGTAATTTAGAAGTATGACTCCTACGGACTTGAAGAATTTTAAGTAGTTGCTTGAAATTATCGGCGCATTACCAACAAGTGCCAGAACCTGCATTTTGCCTCGTTTTTCGGCTATAATATTATATAATATGTTTGCTATTAATCTGAACTTTTTACGTGTAGTCTCATTTTGTAGGTCTCATAAATACCTAAGAATCTTATATGAAAAATTTTTCCGTTCCTGTGAACGCTTTCAACTTAATCCCAAAAAATACGTTTTCTCATTCTTTGTTGTCAAATAAAAAGTTTTCCCACAAAAATTGGTGTACCCATTTTATGTGTCTATGTTTTAAATACCCCCTTAAACAACTTGCATGAACAAAACCAGACTTTACAATTATTTCGGAGAAATTTGCTAATATGATTAGACTGTTTGGCGTGATGTAGTGCTTGTGATGCTACTCATGGCTCCTCTAAGGCCTCATATCTGGGTTTTGAGTCAATTTATTAGGCAGCGCATTCACCAGAATATGGATTTGTGAGTCTTTATATTGAGTAGACATGCACCAAAATTCATAGCGTATTCGCATTCATCACATTTGATATTCGTTGCAAATTATGATTAATGACTGTTTACTGATGCTTCGGTCACCTAGGTGCTTTTTTCGAAAATATAAATAAACAAATACCAAAAGAAAATATTTGTATTCTTCGATAGCCTTTAATCAAATGCTGAAATGTGAACTAATTTTCAGGCTCATTTTTTAGCTTTTTCATATCTGTTTTTGCAGTCCAAGAATGTTTTTCGTTTTTGAGTTACTCCTATTTTTTTCATCTTTGTTTACTATGTTCTTCAAAACTGAGCAATTTACTCACCAGTAGTTCGTATTCCCCAATTTTTCGAAAAAATATCCTATTGCTCAATTTTAATTTACCGAAGCTATTATTTTTTACGGTATTGATCTGCTCCTATGATATAAGCAACGATTACCTATAATGTAAGTCGGAAGTCCTTTCACTTTCAATCGAAATCTGTATAATCTACTAATTTTGTATTATTCCAGGCAAATAACCTACAAGACTAATCTGGACCTCGCCATATCGTCTACCATAAGGCCAAAAGAAGTAACTTCAAGGCATATCGTCCATATCGAATCTTCCCGACGGATAAGAAAAACACGGCAGCTTCGATTACGAATAACCAAGAGGAACGAAAGACTGTAAAGTGTGTTTGGTTGGTGTGGTTTCCGTGTGAACTGTCGTAGTATGTCATGCCGACCGGTAATACCGCAAAAGGCCTCGCAGTCGTGCTTTTGAATAATATACAACACACACACTGCCTTCACCATTCAGCCTGTGGATTCGTTAAATATTGAAACCGCCGCTACTGCGAATGACAGGCAGGTAGGCATTCTTTTTTCTAGGTTACTAGTAAAAAATTCATCAGGTATTTTTCTATTACTTCGTGTTCGGTCAATAGATGGAGAAGGTTAAGCATGATTTGGTCTCTTGGCTTAGATGTTACCATTTTTTCCCATTACTAACTAGAGAAATCACCACTATTGACCTCAATGTCCTGCTAAAAAGTAGCTTTTATCTCCCTAAATAAATAATGATAACAAAAAATTCCTAGATAAATTGATCTAAGGTATAGCACGTCATCTAGTTACTTTTCTTGGGAATCTCAATAATCAGGGAAGTGGAAATAGGCTTTTAATTCTAACAATAGAAATACAACCAAAAAATTTTTTCACTTTGATGCTCCCTAAAACTGAAATATACCTACCTGTCCACAAGCCATTCTTATTCATTACTTCCCTTGGCGCTAAGCGTCTAAAGATAATACTCGTAATGGCACACTTCTCCCCCAAGGTTCGTAATGCACTATTTTTTCCAAAGCAAACATATTTAGCAAAGTAAAATTTTAATACATCATTGCATATCTGTATTGGCACTGGATAATTATTCTACCATTTAACAACTTTTAAAATGCATTTTTAATTATACGAGTATAGTATCTCTCGATGGCGAAATTATTCAGGTGTATGAATCAGTTAAAAACCTGGGTATTTTTCTTGACATGTCCAAATTTCCTTCCACATGTGAATCATATTACTAAAAGTTGTTTGTCAGTACTTCGTCAGTTAAAAAAATTTTAGACTACAAAATTAAGAAAATTCTATGCGAATCATTGATCATTTCAAAAATCATATATTGCGATATTGTTTACTTTTCATTCCAGATTCGGTATCTATTAAACGCTGGCAAAAAATTAAAAATTTTGGCTGTAGATTAGTTGAGAACTCAAAAAAGTACGACCGTATTTCGATACCTTTTCAAAACCTAGGTTGAATGTTACAAAATTAGATAAATATCACTTTATATGTTATGTTCATAAACTCCAAATTACCTCATTACCATTTTTAAAGGAAAAACTAATAAATCGTATGTATGTGTGTTCATTCTATGTAGAAGATATCTGCTTCCCAAATACACTCACCACGCCTATCCACAGAACTTCATTGTTCATAAAGAATTTACCTTTAATGCGATCTATCTATATAATTCATTACTCCTAAAATTAAATCTTTAATACGTGATAACTTCCAAAGACAGAAGACAAGAATCTGCTTTTACAGTACCAAAATTAAAAATGCTTATCTTTCGCTTCTGCTTATAAAAATTTAATCAGTTATGAGAGTAATTACATTTAATATGTATAATACTTTTGTTATACCATATTATGAGTCTTATCGTCATTTATCCATTTTATTCATTATTCATATTATTATTATTAATTAATTTCATTTTTTTTGTAATTTAATTATCATTTCGAATGGAACTGGGTGATAGATTTTGCATAATCTGTGGATTTTGCCATCAATTATGACAGCTTATGGAAAAACTAACCTCGTTAATATTACCGCCCAATATAAGTTGCTATCTCCTTAGCATTAGGAAAGTACCCGTGTAATGATATTTGCTTAGCGAGTTGATTGGGCTGGCGCCGTGTCTTGATGGAGGGCAAAACGTTAAATATTGGATGAGATGAGGGTGGAGCAACAAAAATAGAGCCTGCAGGTTGTTTAAGCAGTGCGGAACCACGGCCTCAGTATTGAATCTTCATTTATAATTGATCAGCCTTTTGTGGTCGCACAGGCACGTTGTGTTGTTTGACTTTTTTCAATTTTATGCGAGCAGCAGGGCTGACGGTGCCGAAGGGCTGTGTGTTTTGCGTTAATACTCATATTGATGGTACGCTCAATGTATAGGTTTTGTTTATCCATCAGCAAGTTCTATTAATGTTACCAATGAAAAGCTATTTTCGCTGTAAATGGTTTTCCACTCTCTGCTGCTGTTTCAATATACTCCGTAATAGCATGTATACAGAGACAATATTTTTACCGCGAATCTATCATAGAACTAATATTTAAAAATGAACATTTTTAAATTACACACAATTACAAGTTCTAAACATCCTAAAAGACTCTGCTTACGAATGCCGGTGAATTTTTCATGCCATAAAAAAATATACATTAAATTCGTAACTCAAAAATACATTAAAAACGAATAACATCTTCAGAAGATTTAGTTTTCAAAAAAAACCTAGTCCTTCCAAATATCTAAGAATAATAAAGGAACATTTCGCACTTGGCGTGCCACTGTAGAGCTTTATTCTGAATCCCGCGTTGATTAACATGTATTTATTCAATTCCGCTGGCAATTTGAGGGTTGCTCCTAGGTAACATTTTAAATAAATACATTCAACGGGTGTGATTCCACAGTCGCCGACGGAGATAAATTAATTTTATTCAGAAAGATGGAATATTTTTGAATAATTCCGCTAGGTCGTCATCTTGCTTTCCGATGTTTGTTTGGTCGTATAAAGGAAACTTTTCCCTTATACATACAGATAAATTCTTTACCGCATCATAAGAACAATTTTTAGCAATAACACTAGGGATGTTCCATAATTAGGGTAGCTATATTTTTAATTGAACCTTTTCACCTATAGGTCGTCTGTCATGATACAAAATTTTATTCATTATTTGGTACCAAATTTTGTTCATTATTTGGTACCAAATTTTGTGAGAAAATGCCTTACTGAATTTAGTTTTTGTCGAAAACGGAGCGATCCCGTAATTCTCATATATTATACATTGCTTTTCTTTAATGTCCCCCTCCCCTTTGATTTTTTGAACGGATCAATTCAAAAAATTAAAACTTAGGTAGTGAAATTGATGTGTGAATACCATATTTTAGAGTAAAATTGACAAAATGTGGGGCGTCATCTTGGAAAAAAATTATATGTGTGGCACATCATTTTGAAGCTCCTGACGGGTACTTTATAACCCTTGAATATAAAGTCAATACCTTTACTTACTACAAAATGGTGGTACATTTAATAATTACCTAAATACATTGACATTTAACTTGATAATTCGAATAATTACGATGAGTTCAGTTTAGAAGATGCTGGAAATGGTTGCCTTGAACTTCTTGATACAATAACAACCGGTCCGTAATTTCGCGTCAAACATTTTCAAACATAGTAACATCGATACTTCTACAAATATTTGTTATTCTCAGCCGTATATCCAATATTGAAGCAGCTTCAGTTTCGTACACCTTTGGCTGCAAATAGCCCCATAAAAAAAGTCTAAAGGTGTCAAATCTGGCGAGCGAGCTGGCCATTCCACAGGACCTCGACGGCCAATCCAATTAGTGTGGTGGAGCACCATCTTTCTGGAATACAATATCAGTATCGAATTCATTAGGATTCGCTTCGACGATTTCGCTTATTAGAGGGTCAATAGTATTTTCGAGCACATCCAAATACAGTTCCCCGGGTAAAGTTTGTTCGATGAATAGAGGCCCCACAATATGATTTGCTAATATCCCAGCCCAAACGTTAATTTTTTGTGGATATTTAGTATGAGTTTCCCGGAAGACGTGAGCATTGGTATCACTCCAATAACGACAATTTTATGTATGCACATTACCGTTGAGAAAAAATGTACATTCATCACTAAAACAAATATTTTGGATATAGGTAGGATGCCGTGCAATGGTTTCGGTCATAGTCTCGCAGAATTCTGTTCTTTGGTCAGGGTCATCTTCAGTTAGCTGATGTGCCATTTGAATTTTGTATGGGTGATACGTATTCTTTTTCAAAAGTCTCCATACAGTAGAAGGACAAACCTCACATAGATTCGCGATGGAGGAAGTAGACTGTTGGGGATTTACTATGATCTCACCAATTATTTGAACTTGCTTTTCTTCCGGGATGGTCCGGCTGTAAATTTAGATACAAGTTCCCTTAAATATTTTCTACAGATAGGACGATTCGATCATTAAAAACCCGTTCCGTCTCGTGAAAGTTACGCGTCGCATCATAAATAAAAATCGCTTCGATTTTTTCTTCCAATGGACGAGGATTGACCATTTTAAAAATAGTTCAAACAGTATCTAGTACTACAACCGAAAACTAAATAACAATATTTTAACTGTACAGTGATGTTTGTTTTCGTACTGATATTCTTGTCACTGTCAACAAAAAATAACAAGACATGTTTTTATCGCTGTTGCTGTGGATACGGCAGGACATTACAATTATTTGTAGAGATATGCATGTTCGTGGGTTCATGTTCAAGTAATTATTAAAAGTACCATCATTTTGTAGGTAGGTAAAGGTATTGACTTTATATTCTAGGGTTATAAAGTACTCGTCAAGAGCTTACAAATGATCTGCCATGAGACCCCCGTTTTCATATATTTTTTTTTCCATGATGGCGACCAGCGGCCATCTTAACATTTTCATCTTTCAATTTTGTTCTAAGATATGGTATCCACGCATCAATTGTATTACCTCAAGTTGTAATTTTTTAAACTGATCCGTCCAAAAAATCAAAGGGGAGTGGGACATTAAACAAAAGCACTGTACGAGTATATGCGACTGCGGGACCAGCTTTATGACTTTCAGAAATATCTTTGACCCGTTGAAGTTTATTACTTTTGTTCTTAGTATCCCTGGGTAATCTCCTTTTCAGTTAGGCTAATATCAACTACTTCCAGCTAGCTATGGAAAAACCCGCACTTAGCCCCGTCAATTTTCTTACATTTGTTAAAATAAAATACAGTGGCTTCATATACACTGAGAACCAAATCTTGCGGCTTGAGTTCAATGTTTACGAGAGAGAAGTGTATTTAAACACATATGTTAGGGGGAGATAGGAGCCGGCTCGATAGCGAAGCTCATCATTGCGTTGCTGACGCGTCAATCTGCCTCCTTGCCAATTTGTTACACCAATTCCTTGAATTAAGATGCATGTTGAAAATATGCGTTAGTATATTCTTTATGCCAAAATAATTGTTTTATTTTGTGCGCACAGATGTTTGGATTGTGAATTGTGTCGAATCTGTTTAGGATCGATTCCGTATCGGTCCCAACGGTACTCCATTTTAAGTCGAAATGAAAGGTCAGGATTACCACAAATTCTCCAACATTGCATCATTGGTTCGCTTGGCAACACCGCATCTCGGACGTTCCAAGGCAAGGTTTCCATTTCCATGATCATAGATGAGCGATTTTGGTCAGTACCCATCTAGCGGTCATTGGGGAGTGTCGTCTTACTTCCAAATGGTTTTCACCTGCGTACACGCAGGCAGTGATAATTTGTATTGCGTAACGGTATTTGTTACATGTTCCGACTGCTTGCTGTCGCAAAAAGTAACAATAACTCAGGATGTGTTGATTTTATCACCATCGGTAAAATAAGTAATTCTACTCAAAATGAAAACGAAATATTGAATAAATTTTCGAACAGACCTCCTTCTTGGGTTTGCGAACATTTTCTGGCAACGCAGCAGATTGCACCACCGTCGCTAACCAATGTGGTGTTCACCTTCATTCTTCAGCCGGCTCCTATCTCGTTCTAACATGTGTTGATACTCGCTTCTCGCGCTTCTCAAATTTAGTTTTCTCTGTAGATGTGTGATACATATTTACGTTGCTTTAGCTGTCAGCTCACTATCATTTTGTCTGTTATCATTATTTTAGCTGACACATCATGACAGAGGTAACATTTTCGTAACTGCAGCTGTTGCTGTGAAGGAAATATAATTTCTTCTAGAGTTGCATCTTTTCACACTTGATGCAAACAAAATGAAACTGTCGTCTAACTCCTTTTAGCCCTCAGTATTTGAATCTTTTGTTTCCTTTGCCCAGCCGGCGGAATATGAAAATGTCTCGGTTGATATTTTCGTTTGGCAGCGTTGGTTTGCGAGATTTAGACTTGTGTCTACTGCTGCGACTGCCGCTAGCGGAAACTTTCCGCCAAGTTTTCAATAATAACTTTGTCGTCGAGTTCTGTGTTCCCGGAGGTCAGTCACACCTTTCTTTTGCTCGGAGACGGAGGAAGTTATGTGGGAAAGCTATGATGCGTATACACTGTTTAGGGTAGGATTCAAAAAGAATAATGCACAAAACATACGGGAAAAGCGGTGCATTGGAATTGGAGAAGTTACCAATAAGTTGTATAAACATTATGATCTTCGGATTAAAATCTCTCATCGGACACAAAGTTTGATAATGAACAATTCTATAGATATAGATGATACGATAGAGGAAAGGAGTATGAGATCCCGTAGATGTTACAGTTGAGAGCATCAGATGACAGTTTTGATTTCAGGGTATTAGCAGTACTAACACATCTCCACGCCATATTCCTATTCAGCCGTCAACCGCTAACCTGCTCCACAGCCAAAAAATACCATCAAGTAGGTTAATACTACACTTCCCACGCAACACCGTCATCAGTTCATAAAGGATTATGGTCAGCACAAGTTAGATCCTATCAAAATAACAGAGCGCCATAGACTTATATCCTGGATAGAGGATAACTGCTATGCTTTCGTTGCCAAAAAAGCACTAAATAGCTGTCTGTGGTTGGATGTCTTTGATTGAGATACTCTGAGGAAAAATTTAGTAACATGTGTAACAGGGAAATTTAACGGATCAAGTCCGTCAATCAGGACGTCGCATCGCCTCTCTTCAGTAGCTGAGAGAGGTTTGAGCAATTTTTTTTCCAAGCTATAGGCGGTCCAAGACTTAGCAGAGATATAGATGGAAATACGTGACATCCCAACTAGCAAAGTAGTGCTATAAGTTTTTTTTAAAAGAACCGTTCAGCCATAAAAGCTCTCTATTGTTGTTGCCTGAACACCAAAATGCTGGCTTAATGTTATGTGGAATGCAAATATCCTTTCTGCATCATATTTGCTCTAAAATGAGGTGTTTAAAATTTTCTTATCGCATAGTTATGCAACACCTTATAGAACAAATTTTGAACGGTTGCATAAACGTTTATACAACTATTTTATATGGCATATTTGCGCGTTAGTGAAAATAGTTGTGTTGTGGCATCCATATTAACGTTTATACAACAAACCCGAGCCTTGCTGTTTTGCTGTGCAAATTTACTACTTCAGTCAACAAATTGCTCCCAACGGAAGCACTTATACAACTGTTGTTTAGTAACCGTTAAAGGCTGTACATATGCAACAATATTACAGCTTTGTAGTACAAAATTACTGTGCTCGACAAACATTTGTTGCTAAATATGTTGGTATACAACTTCACCATAACCTAACTTGCTACTGTCATATTTTTGTTAAAATGCCATAACCAATGTTTTAAGACAAACAACGCATGCATATTGGTTCAAAAGGTTTTATCAACTGTTCAAACAAAAGATATAGATCTGGTACAAATTCTGGGTAAATCATTCGACTCTGTCGGTATTTCATTTCAGACATTTGTCATATTGTTGTATAACACCTGCAGGCAACACCAAAATATTCTAATAAACTAAAGACAACATGGACGATGCCATAATTATACACAACCACCTGCCATATTGGGCAAACATTTATTCCTCTATTTGATATTAAATAATTATGTTTCAGTTCAAAATTACAGATATAAAGTGATAAACATTAGTGTAATTGTGTCTAAATATAGGATTTGTGGAAGATTTAACGCAGATAAGTTCAGTTTTCCTTCTTAAAAAATCTAGACATAATTTATATCATTATGAATCAAATACGAAACCCGTAGAAATTGCGTAACTACTTTGCACGATAATCACAATAAAATTTACTGCGCAAGTAATTCAATAGCCCTATATCACAGTGTAGACGTTTATCATATACCTGTGTATGAAATTCACAATGGCCGATATGTAAGTAAACAAGATGACTGTAATGTGTTAGTTATATATTCTTCACTTCGTCTATACAATACATAAGAAATAGTTTGGTTGCAATAAAGTATATAAAATCGCGTAACAGAATAGTTATATAGTTGATAAAACTGAATCTTGCACTGACGCAAATGTCCTATAGCGGCTGCAAGAGGCTTACACTTGTGTTGTATAACTGTTACCTGCAGCCCTTGTACAACCTCTTAAATGACTGAAGTGTCCTATTAGGTGTGACCATTCTGCTTGTATACCTGTTCTAAGAGGGTTTTGCCAATGTTCTGACAGTATACAATGCTGTGTAAGGAATACTGTATAATCATTCTTGCAACTCTAATAGGAGTAATAATTGTTAGTTGGGATGTTTTTTGTGATGTACAACACTTACTCGTCTGTGTGTGCGTAGAAAGTAAAATATTGCATGTATTTAGTAAGGCTAGGTTCCAGTTCACCTTAGATGGTCCCGTATGTTATGTTTTAACGGACGTGACACGTATGAGAGTGTATACACCTCGAGATTACGATTATTGTTACTTACGTATTGTTTACGCCAGACCGAACCAATATGAATTTTAAACTAAAAAACCTACAAAGTACCAGTCATATTTTTTGAATTCTATGTCTACTGTATTAGAAATCAATAAGGAAAATGATGTTTTCGGTACTTGTTTGTCAAGATCTAAATAACTCGCTTAAAACGAAAAAATGAATTAATGATCCATAAAAAGCATCTACGATTTTATTAAGCTCATAGCTGTAAATCCCATTAACGAAATTATTATTAATAAACAAAGAAAATTTCCTCGTTCGGTGCTTTTAATAAAATTACGGCCTTCAACGGCGCTCGGAGGCCACAAAATACGGCAGAGAAGAATGAAAAATCGGATTAGGCGCGTCCAGGTTATGTGCTGCATCTTAATAAATTCTGCTCTGATGCTGGGATGTTCCCAAGCAGTTCTCTTACATCAACTCACTAATACCGTTTTATAGCTGCATAGAGGGTATTCTGCCCAAAATAACAATGAAGCAGAAGGATAGTCTTGAAACGGACATGTTTGATCTCCGTCTCGGTAACCACGACCAACTGCAAACAGTGATGTTTTGTGCTCAATAGCAACTCAAAAGTTGACCGTTTTTTAATTATAGGTATTTCAATTCTGGCAAACTCGGTTAAGAAGTATTATTTTCGAGATTGTCATGTGTCTAAATTACAGTTCAAACCTTCCTCTATAAAACTTCAAAGAACATTTTGTCCTTAGGTTATTTTAAAGCGATTTTTAATATTGCTTGGCAGGCTAACAAGAGGCGAACTGTTGGTTTTCGTAGACTGTACACGTGGCGGACGAAAATGGAAATTTTGCAATTTGAAGTCATTGACTTTTAAAGAGTGATTTTTTTAAATTCTTCGTTATATTTGCAATATCGACCAGCACTCGATTCGCTGGTGAATTGGTTGCATAATTTACGTTTTTGGTATAAGCTCAAAATTACAATTAAACAGAAGGATAGTCTTGAAATGGACATGCCTGATTTCCGTCCCTGTATCCAGGACCAACTGCAGACTTTGCTGTTTCGTGCTCGTTAGCAACTCATCAGTGCGGTATAGTTCCAATAGTTCTAGACACAGATGAACGGAAAATAAATAAGTAGGTATGGTCGTTTGAAAAACTGTGCGGATGTAGGCGAATCATGCCGTACGATCAAAGATGACGGAAGCCTACGTTATGGGCTCATAACTGTTTGACGTTCTGCGCAATGCACAGCGATGTCGCAGTACTAAAACGGTCGACCCAGCTAGCAGCCGGAATGCAAAGTATACACAAAGCCAGCCAACAATATATTTCTATTCATATATGCATAAATAGATACGATTAAAATGGACATGTTTAGTCATGAGTCGCTAATGTAGAGGTTTTCCGTCATCTTTCATCGTATGGGATAATGATCAACATCAAGTTGGCAAACCATCGGTAGGTCAGATTTTTCCCGTACCTCAGAATACGATAGTTTTGCTGTTAACGTTTTTCGTGCTTAACATCCTGATTAAATCGTGTGATATTTTATGACTATTTTTACTGGAACAAATTGGTTTCCAAATAGGAAGAAGCGTCGTATTTACCATTATTCTTAATAATATGTTTTCTAAATGGTTTCGACAATCATCACCATTGGCTTAGGCATCAGAAACCATGTATACTAAGTGACATATAAATCCGAACACCCAGTTTAAATGGTTTTATTTTAATAAAAGTTGGTGAATGTATTTATCTTACTGTAAATAACAAGTGAAAAAATTTTCAGCCTTATCAGTTGAACATTCCGGTTTTTATACTGCTTTTTTTTAATTCACTAACGCTCCAAAAATGAATATTTCAGCCGCAGTAAAGAATCAACGTAGGCGGATATTGGTTCTTGACATCCTTTACGATCGGTTACGATGCCTAGAGTACGGAGACCTGTACGATTTCGTCAACTTAGTGAGTTTGATAGGGGCGGTACAGTGGGACTTCGGGAAGCTGGACTTTCTTTTCGGGCAATTGCAGTTAGAGTGCAAAGAAGTGTAGACACTGTGGTTAGGTGTTGTCAGGCATGGCTTCGAGAAGGCCGTACGCAAAGAGCAAGGGGCACTGGACGCCGCCGAAGATCAACAGACCCTGAAGATTGCCGCCTAAGATTATTGGCCTTAAGGGACCGTTTCTCCACTACCAGGTCCACTGCAAATGAATGGTTTGCAGAACACGGAAGACCTATTGGCATGCGAAGTGTTTACCAACGAATGAGAAGTTTTGGCTTGATTTCATACCGGCCACACTGGGTCCTCCCTTTAACTCGAGAACACCGACGTAATCGCCTTGAGTGGTGC